ACTAAGATACTGCACAGAACCCTCAAACTCCCAGGCCTCTAGTAGAGGACCCGAGATTGAGGAAGACACATACTATCCATATGGGTGAGAGGGGATTGATTGAGATAGATAGAGATAGAGAGATAGAAATAGAGATAGAGAGATATAGATGGATATACATATAGATATTTCATCACAGCAAAAAGTATGCACTGTAGCAGGAAAGTGAGAAAAATATGAGAAAATATGAAGAACAAAAGGAAGAAAAAAATTAACTGAATTGTATGCTCCTACACAGAATGAATGTCTTTTGATCTATAGGGGGAAAAAACAGTCTTTCTAAATCAGTCCATGAAAGACAAATGTGATAACAAATTTTGTCTTTAATTGTAGATAGTATTGCAGATGTATCTATGTACAGTACAGAAATAAGGATTGGGTAAAGCATGCTCAAAAACTTGTTTATGAAAAGCATACATTTCTACTATGCCATAATCCCTCAAGCTATTACATAATAATTCATAAAGTAAAAACAAATCCATATTTTCATATACTGTAAAAATAAATCTGTTTCTTTTACAGATTTGTGATTTCAACACTCATGGAAAAGATACTATTATGATACTACTGTCCATAATGTTTTTCAAAATGTTATTTTGAAAAAGTTCATCAATTTACTTCTCATTTAAAAACTTGAAACTATATTTTGTTTTAATATTTCACAACTATGTTAATAAAAGTTAGGAAGTTAACTTTCAAAACATAATTACCTGAAATTATTGATAGGTATTATATGAGATAATTCACAAATGTTGACTGATATAAGCAGAAATCCTGCCTTCACAATTGCCCCTTCCTTGGAAAAAATGGCCATATCCTCACAGTTTGGAGCTTACAATGGGCTGACTACAAAACCTGATACAATATAATATTAATAATATAAGGCTACCTGAGCAAAGCTGAATTTCTGTGTCTCTCACACACAAATGTGATTAAAGACATGTTAAATGGCAGAGTATCTATTTCTTAATAAAATATATTATCCAGGAACTTTACTCTGCATATATGTAAAAATAAATGCATGTCTGTGTGTCTGTGTGTGTATGTTTATGTGCATGTGTATATGTATATATGTGTATGTTTGTGTGTATAAACACACATATATTAATAATACAGATACTGAAATACATGTAAAATGCTTTAAGAAATTACCCTATAGCCATATAATTGATAATAAATCCATTGCTTCCTATATAGTTAAAGCAGTATCCTATTTGATCTTGTAATTTCTATATTCATTAAAAAAAAAAGAGAATATCAAAACTGGAACTACATTGTGAAATTCAGAAGTGCTTTCAGAACAGTGACAATTCAGTTACTTCACATATCCTATTTATGGTGGAGAATTATCAGACAGTCATAAGAAAATTCAGGGTGCTGTTCAATTGTGTTAGATTTTACTTGTGATGCTTAAGGGCACCAATACCACATTAAATATAAAAATGAGCACCAATAATTTTTTAAAATAAATTTAATAAATTTAAAATTCTTTATTTTACCATAAGGCAGAACAGTAAATTACTTACGAACTGGTAAAGTCTGAAATATCTCAATTTTGCTGTATTCTCCTTGCCCTTTTCCATTTACAGCAGCAACTTTTATTTCATATGTTGTATTTGGTTCCAGATTGCTGAGAATAACCATAGCTAAGAGAAAACAAATAAAAACTTTATTTAAAAGAAGCATATTTTGTGTGAAAAGGGATACATTAGGTTGTAATATTTCTGCTTCATTTATTTCACAATGTTTACATTAAGGTTATACACATTAATTTTTATTTGGAAGAAAAAAGTAGTCATTTATAAGGTGTGTTGTGACCACAAGAAGGTGTAGGACAATGTATCCAGTTGTATCTATGTGTTATTTAACAAATAATATAAAGTGCAAACTTGAGCATACTGTTATCTATTTCTTTAATTAATACATAGATAAGTGAAAGGAAACACATAATATCTTGGTATTTCTCCATAAGTATTTAATATTTAAGGAAAATATGGTAGTGTTATTTATGACTACATTTAATAAGAAAATATATGTGAATTAATATGCTTGATGTGAAATATTCCAGGTGTGACTTTCACGCCACTGGCTTTTCACTTCTTGACAAGGGACAGAGAGTTATAGATAGCAATTTACTCTATCTCCTACTTTCATTCTACTACTCTTTGTCTATGAATTGATAATCTCTGGGTCTTCGTTCTGTATTTCTTTGCAGATGCACATGTATGGAGCTCTTGCTCTCTCAGCTCCCATCCTGGGAGGATGGATGTAGGATGTAGCATAGGATGTAGTTCACTAGCTGCTAGGCTTTCCTAATCCCTATCATGCATTTCATTCAATAAATCTTTCTTCACTGTGTTTGCCTGAGGTTCAATTCCCACTCTCAGGGATGCTCATACACATTTACAAACAGTGTGTCTCTTCCAGAAAACAACTGGGTAGTGAAAGATGACAATAATAGAAGATAGGTATGTGATAACAAGTTCTATTTGCTTATCACACTGAAGGTTCATTAGATTTATCCAATCACTGTACTTTGAAAAAGAACTGCTGAAATAAAGTATTACAGTATTGTTCTAAAGATCAATCTTCTTGCCTTCTTCGGGCAAGAAGAAGTTCTTAAAAAAAAAAAAAGTAAAATTTGTGGGACCTGGGAGAGCATAACATTGAAAAGTTTGATTGGAAATGCAGCATAAATTTATCTTTGCCACATCTACCATCCACCAGGCCATACTGAATTTTCTATGATTCTAGTGCCACCTGAGCAGAATAACAGCAACAGCTGATATTTATGTCTCATAATACTCAAGCAGCTGCACATATCCTATTAAAATATTTCAGGTTTCTTATGTAAAATCATATATACTTTATTCCATTCCTGTCAACATGGCAACAAATAAATAACCACTAAGGGAAAAAGGGGGAAACAATTCCTCTGGAAGTGAGATTACAAAAGCAAATATTTACAAAAATTTGCAGGTTTGTAAATAGGAACAGATAAATGTGTTGGATTTACAGATATTGCTCACAAAAATCATATATGGATAAGCACTATTTTTCTGGATATTATCATATTAAAAAAGAAAAGTGGATAACTGCCCACAATTTTTATCTGAAAATTGTCAAAAAGTTATCAATTTACTTTTAAAGATAAAACATACAATAATAAGCAATGAATAATAATAATAATAATAATAATAATAATAATAATAATTTCTGAAGCTACCACTGAATTCAATGTACAAGCTAATTAACTAAATGCTATTAGTTATTACCAGAATAGGAGATATTCAAAATATATATTTAATTTATTACTAAAATAAATGGAGTCAAAGCAGAATCTATGTTTACTTTCTAGAACCATCTAGAGCAGTAGCTCTCAATGTGGACTTTATCACCCTCCAAGGGGCCATGCCATTTCTAGGGGGCCTATGCTACCACTAGACATTTTAAGTCTTTAAGAATTTTGTTAGCTATTACACAATTATGTCTGTATATAATTAATTCTTTTTGTTAGCTATTACAAATATTTTTTTTCTTTATAGTATAAAGATAATTAGATGATACAGTTTAGATTAATAAAAAAGTACTTTTTTCCAACTAACAACTATGCTGGGGACCAAAGAGATAATGAGGGCCAGAAGGGGGTCATGAGCAACAAAAGGTTGAGAACTCCTAATCTAGATGTGATCTGGAAGGGAAGAGGGAGCTAGATGCAACCTCTGAAATGCAAGACACTCTGCTTTCCTTCTGTAAAAGTGAAGATATGGACTGGAAAGCTACCACACTTAGTACTTTTTTTTCAGTTCTATGAAACCAGAGCTTACTCTGTGTACCTTCCAGAGTAGGCCCACATGACCTCCATCTTGAAAAAGAGAGGAGGGGGAGGAAGAAATAATACAAAATGTATCTACCTGCTTAAAATTGTGATTTTGGATTATGTATACTTTGGTTCTACATTTATTTCTAAAATAGAATTATTAAGAATAATCCTATTATTGTTTATTCAGAAACAAACCTAGTCATGGCCAGGCAATTGACTTGTAATTAAACCATACACAGAAAATATAGTTCTGTTCATGATACTGTTCATTTGACATTGATTACTTCCTTTGATGACAGACTGAGTTTCTAAGTGGGGAAAAACTTCATACATGCAATTCACATGCAATTCAAATCATTACATGACCACATGAGATATTATTTCATATAGATGCAATGAAACACCTCCATACAAGATGATATTGGAAGCTTAACATACAGCATAGACTATATTATTTTTATAATATCTGGATAATCTTATGCGTTTCCATGTTGCTTAATATTTATTTAATCAATTTATCTTGCAACCCATAGTGTCACAGTGATTCTGGAGTTTGATGTCTCAGAATTATAGTTTATCCTTATTTGTATCTCATAAGGATTTAACAGGAACAACATAGACAACAGTAAAACATGTGGCTGGAGTAGAAGAATTGTTTCCAGCAACACACAAAGTGTGTAAGGGAGGTTTTAATTATCGAGCCTCCTCACAGCACTCAGCTAAGAGTCATCAAACCTACGTAGCATTTCATATGTTCTCCTGCCAGAATTTATAACCTTCTGTGCTGTGTAGCCTTTTGACTTTGTATCTTAAATCTGCATCTTTCCTGAGGGCTGATGGTCTAACTTTGATTAGGACCTCGATCACTCAGTCCAGGCAGAAGAATCCCTGAGTTGCAAAATCTCGACAAGGTATGAAATAGTTTCACTGTGTCATGGCTGCTGTAGCCCAGAACTTCCAGGGAATCTGCTTCCTGCTCTTTTCCTTGCATGTCTGAAAATGTGCCAGTCAGGAGCATAACAGTATTATCTGGCAGAGAATTAATCAACCAGTCCCCAATCTTATAGTGAATGGTACTGTGTCAATTAGGGTTAGGAAATGCATCCAAAAGTAGCTTTAGAAAAAATGTATTGAGAATTGAGTTGAAATCTGAAGTAAAACAATGGAACTAGTGATTTGTATAACTCTTTTACATCCTCTTAACTGTACATTTACCAATGTACATAAACAATTCTGAAAGCCTTCCATATTTTTGTTTTTGTTTTGTTTTGTTCTTCATGTTCTTTTTATGAAAGCATCCAAAGTCTGAGAATTATTGCTCATTGAATTTTTCAAGTGGAGAATATGTAACAATATAATTTGCTTAATACCATACGCTAAAGTAAAAATATTTAAATTGAATACAAAATACTAGTGTTTTCCATTGCTTGTCCTAAAACATTCATGTTAATTAAGCCCATTGTCTAAATAGATCCACTGACAGCATTATTATTTCTACTAATTCTATGTAGTAACTACAATTCTAGGTTCACTGACAATGATCCAGTATCATGTACTAAGCATCATACTACCCCTGTGAATGTTATATGTTATAGCTTCTTCCAAGTGTAGAAAGGATCACTTCTGGTTCTTCTGGTTCTTAAATTGTAAAGGATTATAGATCTCTTAATATATTGTTATGATATCTAAAATTCAGCAGACACTTATTTAGTAGTACAATTGTTGTTTTGTAGTTTACATACTCTACTTTAGCTCCAGTGCCACTGCCACAACCACAAAAATGGTAGACATGGGTGGGAGAAATAGGAGGGTGGGGGGAGTTGAAGCACCCCTATAGTTGTAAGTGTGGGTGGGCTGCCAAGCGCCTGAATTTTGATGTGACCACGGGAGCACTGCAACGAGCATAACTTCAGGGACTGGGTGTAAGTATCATTTATTCAGTGCCACTGTAACTTTGAACGGTCACTGAACAAATGGTCATTAAGTGAGGACTATCTGTAGTTACCCTCCAACACTGTTGATGGGTCAGAAGGGTAGTATTATGACAATGGAGCATTGTAACTCCATTTCACTGGGAGTTGAAGTCCACACATCTTCAAGTTGCCAAGATTGAGAAACACTGCCTTGCAGCATCTTTCTTTGACCCTGACAAAAGAAAAGAGTGGCCATCTAAATGTGCCATTCAAATATAGCAACTCTGAAAAGCATATGGAAAGTATTTAGACTCTAGATCAGTGTTTTAAAGTTTACTAATTAAAGCTGAGTCACACATCTTGCAAACTAACTGTAAAGAAGATACCAAAATTTATCATTTTATTTAAATGTAAACTTCATAAATGTGACAAGAATGAGGTACATATTCAATTAGTTTCTGATTAAAATTATGCAAAAATCCTGTAATGCAGAGGGCAACAGATATGCTATAGGTGGTTCAACAGAAGCAATGCAGTTTTGATAAGATTTCCAGTTTAGTGAGTAAACCAAAACCTGAGAGAAATGAATATGATTTTCAACTTTTTAGATAAATACTATTTTTGAAAGTATAATTGTAATTCATATAGAAATAAAGTTATCAATACAAGATAAGCCTTGCATATATGTCTTCTGTTAAAAATGAACAGAAAATCATGAACATTAAATAATAAATCTAGTATATTATAATAACAGATGGGGAAAAAAGTAGTTTTATGTACTAATATCTTTTTTTTTTAAATTATCCTTATAACTGTAAACTATGAATTCTACAGAAGACTCTAGACTATTATGAAAAACTCATCCACTGACTGAAGTGAAAGTTGAATTTTACAGAAAGAATTTTTACTT